ATCCTCTGCACACTCCTGAATAAACTCATTATCTTTGGAGAATCTCTCTCTGTTGTTTCAGTTGACAAGGGAAAGGCACAGATGGATTCAGGGTGGTTTTTGGTTTTTCCACTCATGTTATAAAAACAATTTTTAAAATTTCCCAATTGTTTTCGAAAGTGAAATAAAAAAGCATGAGACCCGACAAGGTTAACATAGTGCTAGGGAAAAATCAAATCCCACTAATCCTAAGATCCTTAAGGGCAGGTTCTGTCCTACTTACTATTTTATCCCCCAGTACCTGGCATTTGTTAGCAGTTCAGTATATATCTGTTGAATGAACAAATCAATTTTGCTGTATAATTTTGTTTTTACTTATAAAGTTTGTGCCTTAATTTTTATTCTCCTGATTCCAAAGAGGACTTATCACCTGACTACTATTCTGACTATATAATAGTAGAGTCTATATTCTTATATCCTCTGATCAAGAATCAATTTTCAAAATAATTCACAGGGAGTAAAGAAATATAAAGTCACTAATTAGAGGTTTCAAGGGGGATGTGGTTCAGAGGCAGGAGTGAGGAATCCTTGTCCCTGGTTAGGAATGTACAGATGGTGTGACATCGTCTCTGGATCAGAAAGCCAGGACCACGTGCAGAACTGCTGTGGAGGAGCAGAAAGGGGCAATTTAGAATGTAACAGTTTCCTCTAGGTATGTGGGTGCTCGTTCATCAGCAGGACAGTTAGTTTGTAAAATCCACTCCCTATTACCTCCAAGTCTCCTTCATGCAAGATAAATTGGGGGCACGTCAACATTCCTCGTGGGTTGGAGTGCATGATTGTAGTGAATCATTCAGTGCATACTCTCTATGTCACTGTATTCTAATTTTATCTTGATATTCACTGGACTACCCTTTACTGGGCTTCTCACTGCAGATTTTTAGGCTACAGCACTTGATTTTGGTGGCTGAAGAGTATACCATAGCTTGGGAACTTCTGACAGAATTAATCTAAAGCAAGACCTGACTTCCAGGTAGCCTGAACTGACCTCTCTGATCCAAGTCAATATTTTGTCACAGTCTATACAACACTTTGGTATTTCTCATTCAAAAGGGAAAATTGGAGACTTTTAAATATTTCTCTGCTGAATATGGTTACCATTTTTGGATATAAATGCCTGATAAGGCAAAGCTGAAGGATTGTTTAAATAATAGTAGAATCTAGATGAGCTACTATTTAGTGCTCTGTGATGAATATATTTAATTGATTTATTTTCCCTTATAGATCATCATGTTAAGCTCTGTTTCTGACCTTCATGGCTACATTGAGAAAAGCCAACTAACACAGGA